TATAATCCTCTCCCACTCCTTTTGGTTCAGATCTGGTTCAGTTTATGGTTCAAGATTGATCTTTGAAAATATGATTTTCTAAATAGGGAATACGATTCCCAGTTGAAGGGAGAGAAAATTTTTTTGAAATTCGCCCCTTATTCCGCAATCTTTGGGCGTCCATAGGATGGATCTCTCATCCCTTCATTGATGTAGTGCGATCTGTTTGCTCTCGTGTGTCAGGTAACTCGGACGCTGATTCGGATGATACCTTGTTAGGGTTGAGTTGTGCTAGGCCGAGCTGTTTTGTTCTATAAGAGAGAGAGAGTTAGAGTGCCTGAGCTGTTTTTACCCAGGTGGGCACTCCGATGCTTAAGCTGGAGAATTGTTTTTGAAGGTTCTTTAGGAGATAAGAATGCTTGAGAGCTTAATTGCATGTACCTTTACTGGTAGGAATGAGGACTTTATATAGGTGTGAGTGGCCTGAGCCTTCTCACAACGGGTCTCATATTCTCATGGAGCCATTTTCGCTAGGTTGGGTGAGTAATTACATCGGTTACACAATCTACGTGGGGGTTACGGTCCATTCGATTAACTCTGATGCGTGCGATGCGTAGGCCGACCTAATGGTCGATGCATTAATGCTTCAGAGATCTCGGGCTGGTAACATATCTACAAGACAAGTCAGCGGGCTCACCTTGCAGGTCGCCATAGGTTCTTACAGCTCGGCCGGTCTCTGAGGTAGGTCGCTATATGCCGGGGGACCTGTTAGCTCGACTTAGGCGAGTTGTTTTAGGCTGACTTGCCGAGCTGGTTCACTTACCTAGCGTCGAGGTGTTGCTTGAAGGCCACGTGCCACAATGTAATTCGGAAGACCAAATTACCCATCATTTGTAACCTTCATCTCGTGCCACATTTCTTCCTAATAAGCAAAAACTCTTTGATCTTTGAAAAGTTAGTAAATTAGCACTAGATAGACCTATTTGGTCGGTAATGAAAGATCATAATTGTAACTTTTCCATTGAAGTATCAACTTCATAACTCACCATTTATGTTAGCCAAAAAAAAAGGATAAAAGAGAGAAAAAAAACTAGGGCAGACACCCCCTTGTGATAAAAGTATTTTCTAAGGTGGATCCTCGATCAACACTTCAAATTCCATTATACATGCTTTTGAAATGAGTTTCTAAGTGATGATCCTGAGGAGAGGTACTCACTTTTATCCGATGCAAACCAGTTGTAACCCACTTGGACATAATTACTTTCATATGAGTTGAGGTTAAAGGCATTTTAACCCTTAAATTTTAAAGTTTTTCCTTCTTACCATTCTCATATTTCATGTTCTTCTACATTATCTGAGAATTGAATATATCACAATTTGAGGAGATGTTTGACATTTTTGATGCATACTTAGACCCTATCTTGGCCTGCCATCACATCACACCCTTTTCTTGCTTATATATGTTGATTATTCTGAGCTTTTTCATGCAAACCATTGCTTTATTTAACAAAAATTCCACAGTTCGATGTTTTCAAAGGCTTCTTAAGAAATTGACTTGATTAAAGATTTTTTATTAAAGTAATTGAATCTCAACTTCATTAATTATACTTGCCAATATTCAATTGGTCATGTCAACCTCCGATTTGACTAGAGTATTTTATTACGAGAAGTATAGACTGGCCCAAAGTATATTTCTGATTTTCACTTCAGAGCTATAAATATTCAAAATGTCAAAAATCCGTACTCCATGCACCCATACCCGTCGGTAAATTGCCATCAATTCCAAAATGACATCTACTCCAAATATACAACAGAATATTCTGACCCTAGACTGAACCGTCATTCTCCCATTTTATTATCATTAAGGGGTAAATATGCACAAGAATGCAACTCTACCACATAAAATTTACCTAATAATAACAATAATAATAATAATAATAATAATAAGCTAATAACTAGAAAACGGAATACATAGACGATAAGGGAAAGGCCCGGGCAGTCCTACCTACATGATTCGATCGGACAGTGCAGGGAGCCTTCTAAAGAAGTTCAAAGCTGGTGGTGACATCCGATCTCGGAACATCGGATGGCGCAGATAATAGAACCCTGACGCCAACGCGACCATCTTCGATGGGACAAGATACAACACGATGGCTACGATGAAGCACAGCCCCACAAAAATTGCCGTCGCTCGTGGGTCCCTCCACGTCACTAGAGCCTGCACTCGCTCTCCCTGCGTCGCGAAGTCTCCTAACACTGTTTGTACACGTGCCGCAAGAGTCCGTAATTTATCATACCTAGCGCGTATTATTTCTTGTGATCTAGTACTCGGTACCGTATCGAACTCCTCATCTAACTCGTCTCGATCAATGAATTCTGCTTGAGAGATCTTTGGGCAAGGTTGCGGAAATGGGTCCCGCGCTCGAAAACGGTAGTTCCATGCTCCGATCACAAACACGTAAAACAAGAATGTGGGGATGATCAGATCTGGAAACCACACGAGCATCACGAGTAATGCATGCACGAGCAGCGTAGCGGTCGGGTTCTTCCACGAACGTGTATCATCCACCCACCTTACCACATCGATAACCCCTGCGATCACGTTGATGATCCGAAACCAATTGGCACGTACTTTTCGCATGCTGAACGCGTGCGAATCTGCGTCGAGCATGTAAAGCACCACCTCACGTCGCAATGGCGGTTCTGATCGAGACAAGTGTAAGGCCACGATCTTTGACGCTGTGCTCCTTAACATCTCCTGTTGAAAGATACCAAGAGGCCTGATATGGTGCATCAGAGGCAGTAAGGGTTGTGTGTACACGTGAAGCATATCAAGGGTGGGAACAGCACGAGTGAACCGTACAGCAAGCTCAATATCACCCATCTTCTTCACTCCTGTGGGAGTCAAAAGGAGCAATGGATACGTATTTCTGTACACTCTGTCTGTCTCTAAAGTAGATATACGTATTCGTACTTTTCCAATACGAAAATCTGGACGCGTGGATTCTTTTGGACCATCTTTTTCGTATACTCCCCAGTTGTCAAATACACCAACTGTGAGTACTGTACACGGATCATACACCTTCCACGTGTACTGTTCATTCCACTTGGGGTCCAAGCTATCTGCCACGGTACGTGATCGTACCCACTTTTGTCCGTACTTGGCAACTGCATATGCGTCGGTTGATCCCTTACCGTTGATTGTTTTCATCGGAAGAAGATTCTTGCATCCAACGATTCCAAGCTCGACCGCACCAACAGGTGGTTTCCAGAGCTGTCTCGCGGTTGGACGGTAGTCGCTACACACATGAGCTGCTTCATCCATAACATGATATCCACCGTCGAAGCAGAGGCGCAGGTGGGCCCGACCTTTGTAGGCCCTCTTCTCGTTGTCGGCGTCTTCAAGACTGAACCACCGGGATACCACTTTCCGGTCATCCACCCGCCTTTCTATGGTTGCAAGTGGTATTCTGGCCACCCCCAACACCACCGTTACTTTTGATTGCCGGTTTTCCAAGCTGAAAACAAGGTGGTCACAGAACGGTTCTGCTGCGACAAAGATGAGATCTTCATTCCACGAGGGCGATCCGTTACGGCTGACAGAGATTCTAGTCTTCAATACCTGAGCCCCTAACTGAGCTTTGACTTGGAAACTTGACTCTCTGGTTGCCGTCGATGGTAGAATATCTTGAGCTTCGATCACCGTTGCTCTGAGATACCATAGCTTGGGTGAAAGATAGACTTTTGACCGCGAGCTTACATTACCGGCTGTGTCGGTTTTCCATGCATCAGAAAATGCCTCATCAGCTTGCGTGCCTATCCACGTGGCAAGCATAAGATCACCGTTGTGGGCCCCGCCACCTTCTAGTCGATACCATTGTGGGGCCAGGGGGCTATCAGGTGGGTCCCTTAGCGGGATCTCCGTGACGTCGAAACAAACACCACCGAGGAAATTTCCTTCTGCCGCGTCGGATGTGGGATTGGATGTGGCTGGATCCCACACAGAGACTTCCAACATGGACGATGACTCTGGTGCGTCCCGGCCGAAGGCGAATGTCTGGTCCCATTCGAAGAATGTGGCTTTCCGGGCGGGTTTGGATCTTACCTGGCAGCTCGCAACCGCGATCTTGACGACAGGATTGCCGTTGGTTGGGAGGGATCGGGCTTTCACCACTTTGACAAAGAGGTAGTGCATTTTCTCAACAAGATCGTAAGATGACCGCTCCACTGGAATTCTATCAGGTGGGTCCCTCGAGGAATTCTCAGCAGTGGCTGTCCTGTAAATAGGACGTGCGGCATTGAACACAGCGGCTCTAACTTCCGGCATCGTGGCTGTTACCGTGGCTGACATCACTTCTGCAGGAAGCGGGGCCTCTGGTGCTGATTTATTTTCAGAGTCAACTTGCGTTGGTTGTTGTGGTGATGGATCGACTGGATTTTTACTTGCTTCAGGCTGTGGTGGGTCAGATTTCGGTGGTTTCATAGGCTCAGGGTCAGGGGTATTTTCTGGCGGTGGTCCTGCAGGTTCTGCAGCTGAGGCTAGTTCATCTGGTGATGATGGAGTCGCTGTTTCATCGGGCTTTACGACCTCGGGTGGAGGATCTGCTGGGGCAGGTGGGTCAGGCTCGGCTGGCTTCTCAGTCGCTGTTTCAGCCTTGACGGCATCTGCTGCTGTTGCCTCTGCAGAGGCAGGTGCTTCAACCTCTGCTGCTGGTGGGTCAATTTTCTTTTCCTCTGCAGGTGGTGGTGTTGATGGGGGCGGTGGTGAAAGTGGAGAAACGAACTCATCTATGTAGTAAATCTTCAAACCAATCTCACCTTGAATCCAAGTAAACCAGCTTTTCTTCTCCAAAGGAAAATAAATTAGCGCCTCTTCTCCCTTCCTCACAAACTGGGCTGAATTCAGCCTGACACGGCCAAGAAAATTGCTTCGGCGGGTAGGCCCCATTCGCCTATCATGGTAGACATCAATTTCAAGCATGTCGCCAAATACGTCAGACGGACCACCAACATTGAACTCAAGCACCTCGTTCCACGTTGGGTTCAAATCACGGATCACCGTTTGAGTCCTTCTCCGTTGCCCATAATAATCAACCACCACATATGGACTGGACGTCCCCTGCCCATCCTTGGGCATGAGATTACGAGCATCAACAACCTCCGCAATTAGTTTCCGCATCGTAGTTGCCATAATCAGAGAGTTTCTGACTTAGAATTATTGCGCTTTTCCTGCTGTTTTTTTGTATAATCACATCGTTTAATTTGATGCAGGAGGAGCCAGAGAGAGAGAGGGGGGGAGAGAGTTAGAGAGAGAGAGAGAGAGAGAGAGAGGGAGATAACTATGTTGCAATAGTGGTGAGTTATGAAGATGAAAGGATTAAAGAGAGAAAGAGAGAGATAAAGTAAACTGGCGGTGGTGGATTTCCTAGTTGTAAAAGAAGGGGAGAGAAGAAGAAAGCTGAGATAATGCCATAATGGAGGTGCTTAACGTGATGGGCAAGCAGCCTTATGGCCTTGGCCAGGCCATCTTTTCTACTTTGCTTCGTAAACAAAACCAACACTTTTTATTGAAGATTCTCACAATCAAGACACCTTTTATCAACAGGAACTTCTGTTGGGTCCATGCACTGTGTTAAACGTAGGAACAACAACACTTTTCAAAGATATGTGGCTTTTTTATGGCTTGAATCACCGACCATTGTTAATTTTGTCGACTGCAATCTTTAGTGGAAGTGAGAAAATTGACGACGTATGCTTTTTCTTGCATTGCTTTGTGGCACAGGCTAGTGGGGGTTGCATAGGAGGAGACGTACGTGGACAGGCGTCCAGGATATACCATGCATGCACGTCGAACTGAGCAAGGAAAGCTGATAATCGAGGGTGATTGCCTGCTTTGTGCTAGTTGGGTCGGGCTGGAAGTCAATTTTTTTTTTCCGATCGGGCGGCCAAGGTAACATGGTGTGGTAATAATTTAAAGGGTGTTCGCCACTATGTATGATCTTATTTTATAAAATAAGAACTGCTGTTTCAGGAAAAAAAACTTAAAATGGGATGATCAATTGAACTAGGGTTTGGTCAAGGTAACCCGTTTCTACACTACAACAAAAAATGGCCTATAGATAACATTAACCACCGTCATAGATCTATAGTGTCGGTTTATTCACAATGATTCTTCACCGGCCAGTCGGTCACAACGGAAAAGTCACTATAACGTCCCTTCCTTCGCTGGTATGTAGTGAGGGATAAATTGGTCAATTTCTTGTGTTTATTTGTTGATAATATTAGGTCCTACGAAATCTCTTAAACTATCCTTTCTCGTTACTTAATTGACATGAACGAAATATCAAATTTATCTTTCGCTTTTTATTAAATTTTCAAAATAAAACCCAAATGATGAAATACCCCTGATTTCAAAGCTTTACTTGATACCAACTGTGACTGTGGCTGTTCAATGAGGCCCCGGTTTTCTGTTGGAAGTTGCAGCGGTCCCGGTTTACTTGATACCATCTGCCGTTTCCCTAACCTGACTAACCTCTCCCTCTCCAACAACTCCATCAACCCCTTTCTCCCCGATGACATCTCCGCCTGTCAAAAATTGTAGCACCTGGACCTCTCGGAGAACTACCTTGTGGGTCCAATCCCGTCCACACTTGCTAATATTACAACTCTTCGTAGCCTCATCCCGAGTGGAAACAATTTCTCCGACAATATACCAGAGAGCTTTGGATGATTCCAGAGACTTGAGGAGCTGGCTCTCATCGGGGGTCTCCTCAATGGAACCATACCTTCTTGTAAATATTTCCACTCTTAGAGTGCTTAATCTGGCTTACAACCCGTATACACCCAGTCAAATTCCGGCGGACAACGGTAATTTGACGAACCTGGAATTTCTCTGGCTTACTCGGTCTAATCTCGTGAGGTAACTTGAGGAACCTGGAATTTCCGGAGAGATCGAGGTAATTAACCACCAGTAGGCTCCCAAGTTCCTTTGGAATTTCTCCGAAAAGCCCATTGTAGAGAGGTACAGCACACTGAGCTTCGTCATTGACTGGATAAGAGGAACGAAGGGGGACAACGAAGTCATCTCGTTCTTGTAAATATTTCTTTTGGAACGAAAGCCTCATCACTGAAGATTGAGATCCAGAGGAACCAAGTCATCTCGTTCCCAGCCATGGTGATTCCCGGTCCTTACGGACAGAGCTTGCCGGCGGTTCCAGAATGGCTGAACAAGGGGGACAACGTGTGGCAGATGACAGCTACGACATTACTATTGGCGGAGCCGGTTCTGTGCAGGCTGGTCTTACCAGTATCCAACTCGAGGGGTGCATTTTACGGTGGAGGAGGAGGGGTGCAGTTGGTGAACATTTTCTCTGTTTTCTGTTTCGTCACTGCTGCTGCAAGTTGCAGCAGCGGTCTGAACCCAAAACAGAGCAGCGGTGGCTACCCCTTCACACCGACCTTCTCTCCCTTTTTCTTCTAATCTTCTTTCTTCTTCCTTCTTCTTCTTCTTCCCCCTTTCCTTAGTTGCAGTGGCAGATTCAAACTCTAGAAATACGTATCCATATTTCTCTGCCTCCATCTCTATCTCATGTCTCGTGTGCAAAACCACTAGAAAATTCTATCCCTTCCGTGTCTCAACTGTTCTCCTAAGTCTATGCTTCGTTATTCTGGCTCTCACCTCCCTAACCATGTAGTTGCTCTCTTCTCAATCTCATCATAATCCTTGGAGATGGTTGTAACTGATCTTTCAGCTAAAGATTCATCACTGAACGGGTCTAATGGTCAAAGGTTGTGGTGGAGCCAATGCAACTTTACGAAAGTATTCCTAGCGCACATTGAGTCATCCGTCTGGGTTCCCTTGAATCATCAGAGGTTGTACCAAAGCCATTCTATTTCAAGGGACTGTTCCGACCTTCTCTCCCTTCTTCTTCATCCCTGTTTGAGAACACTTAAAAGAAGTACTTATCTAAACAAGTACTTCTTTTAAGACATAGGGCCACACATTAAGTGGTTTTTAAGTACTTATGGGTGTTTGGTAAAAAAGAGGGTAAGAAGTAAGGCGGCTTTGGAGTGTTGGGATCTAGAAAAAATGGTTTTCTCTTTTAGGATCGTTGAGATGTGTCTGACATTAGAAGAGGTAGCTTATCTCCTACGAATGCCTATTGAAGATGAGATTGCCTTCCCAGTTGCCAAGCAGGGGTACAAAGCCGACCTGTGCCAATTCATAGCATGCAAAAAGTCCCAACTACAGATGGTAGGTGAAGAATCCATTATAGTCCAGTTTCTTCTAAACCATAGCACCCAAGTCTTCAAATTAGATAAGCCATAGAAAAATAGGAAATGACAGAAAAAATGTCTTGCTCATGGCGATTGTAAGACATCTCCTCTTCCCACTTGATCGCAAAAGGATTCATACAAGACTAGTCACAGTACTGCATCAAATCAAAGAAGCATCATCAGTCACCTTGGTTCCCATGATCTTAGCAGAAATTCTAAGGGGTCTAAACATGTTGCAGACACATAGAGCATTGTCGTTCTGTGGATCCCTCCAGATCTTGTAGCTGTGGTTGATACAACATCTAGCACATTTTGTCATCCACAACGGAAAGTTTTTATCTCAGCCCACATACAAGGTAAAAGAAATATTGAGCACTAATCCACAAGCATCAGCCTTGTCAGAGAAACAAAACATGGCGTAATTGCAAAGGGCCATAGAAGGAAACGTTAATTGGAACATTGGGTTGTCTATCCAAGAAGGGTGCAATCAACCTCACTTAGTTGCAGAAGGAAAAAAGAGCATGGTTCTAGCAAGCTTATATGGATCAATACCATACGTTCCAATACGAGTCCTAAGGCAAGTAGGCTTCTTATAGATCATTCCAACCATCGATGACATCAAAGGGGACATGGTTAATTTTATCAAGTATTGTGGGAACATGGAAAGGAGGGTCAAAGAGCATTGGGCTTCCAGTAAAAGGGAATTCTCTACCCTGTTGCCAACCTTCAAGCCGATGTGTGATCATACATATAGGGATTGGGTGTGCAGTCAAGGTTTCCCGTCACCCCTAGCGCCACCACCTGAGCTCCCCACCCCAGTAAGGCCTTCATCCAAAGGTACCATATCAAAGGAATCCCTCAAGCACCCTTTAGATGATCCATACTTGAAAGCAGCACTAGAACTTCATAGGCAAAATAGATAAGTCAAAGGAAAATGGAAATAGAAGAGTCAAATTTAAGGAAGGAAACTATGGAATTAAAAGAGAGATTGGAAAGTCAAAGGAAAAAGTTGAGTGAAGCCCAAACAATTCATTTTAAAACAATGAAGATATTATCAGAGGCACTTCAAGAAAAGCAAAGGTTGGAAGTCAAAATCAAGGAAACTCGTCGCCAGCTCCATCAAGCTAGGAATGAGGCTTTTAGTGCCAACGTCAGATACAAAGATTTAGTCAACCGCATAGAAGCATACACAATGCAAGTGGCAAATCGAATGGTGATACTCAAAGTCACTTTGACTTACTATGGCATTGACATTCCTCCCAGCTGATCAATATTGTTGTATTTCCTTTTCTTTTTGAAAAAAAGTGGATGTAATGAACATTAATGAAGGAGCTATCTTTTGTTTTGGGCCATTATTGTTTCACTCAAATACTAACAAAATCGTCAAATTCATTGAATTAACTCATCAAATATCAAATTTGGCAAATTAACTTGTCAAATAACAAAGATCAGAATCAAAGCATCAAATCAACTCATCAAATAAAAAAAATTAAAATCAAAGCATCGAAATCAAATCTAAGTTGTCAAATCAACTCATCCAATCAAAGCATTAAAAATCGAAATCAAATTTACCAAATTCTTCAAGCCAATTCATCAAATATCAAAAATCAAAGAATAAAAACCAAAATTAAGTCTACAAAGTTCATCAAATCAACCCATAAAATAGAATCAAAATCAAAATTAAAAAAAATCATCAAAATCAAAATCAAAAACCAAGAAAAGAAAGAAAATAAAAAAAAGTCAAATCAATCTCATCAAATGTTGAAAAACAATTTCTTTGTTTTCTCTCTTGCAACCAGTGAATAATTTTTGACCTACTCCAGGCCAACATGAGGACCAATAGAATTGTGACCCATTCCTTCGCCCGCACCATGGCAACCGAAGGCACGACCTTGGAGGGCTCAAGGCAACATGACACAACTAATGTGGAGACTGCTATACCCATTACTGTTTCATATAGTGAATTTCTCCGTCTTCAAGAAAAGCTTTCAGAAATGTGTGTTCGGGTGGATTCACTCTCAGAAAGAAATTCTACAAACCCACAAACCACTACCCAAGCTCAAACCTTTTCCATCCCTACCACTACTGGGATTCCTATCCCGTTCGTATTCATTGCAGGTACCACATCACTGACTCCAAGGCCACAACCTACCATCCCCACAACTCCAAAAGTCAACCAAGTCAATGTTAGACAGTTTTGTATGCCCTTAGCTCCAATCAGTTTTGATGTACTTTTGACATTTAGTATAAATGAATAAAGTGCATGTTTGATTCATGTTGTGTGGTGTGTTTCTGTGTAAGACCCTTAAACTGGACACTTAATGAGACTCGTGTTAATTTAGAATGTTCACAGCTGTTGGATAAGTCTGGGG